GAAATGTGTGCAAATAGTGTCCTGTTATTGAAAAAAAACTTTTTCAATGAGTTTTTAAATTGTAAAGACATACAAGATTATGCTCAACACTATAAAATTATAATGAAAAAAATTTAAATTTTAAAAAATAAACAGCAATTGCTGCTTTAAATTAGAGATGCAACATACAAATATTTGGTATTTAGCCTATACTGCTGAACGCAGAATATTCATTTCGGACGAATAATGGAAGAATCGTCTGCCGAAGACAAAACTTAATTCGTTTACATCCATCTTTCTTGTTTTCTGCCCTGGGAAGGGTTTATTCGATTAACAAAATAATAATGAAGATAAACAAATTTGTGAAGGGTCCGATTGGAAGAAAAATCATTTTGTGAAGGGTCCGTTTTTAAGTTAAAATATTTTGTGAAGGGTCCGTTAACGGACCCAAATTTCTTCTAAACAGACCCCTGGTATTCTCGAAATTTATTAACCGAGAAAGATTTAAAAGAATTTAACTGAAAAAACTTTTATTACCATTACGAGCGGACGTAGCACAAGAATAGACAGTAGTTAAAGACTAAATCGGTTAAAAAGAAAACATTAGCATGGTATAAAAAATTTAATCCATACTTTAAATTTAATTTTATACAAACGTATTCAGGCATAATTTTTCATATTATTCATCTTTCTTAATTGATCACAATTAAATTTGTTTAAAAATCATATTTTATTCTTCATAAAATATTTCGCTCAAGCAAAGTATTTACCCGATAACGAGTTGCTTTAATAACGTTGTTTTAACTTTGTTTATTTGGCAAATTAAAAAGGTTTTTTTCAAAAAAATTTTTTTAGCAGTAATATTCTTTTAGAATACGATGCTTAGTGCATTCTGCAAGCATTTTTCTAGACAATTACACCTTATACTTTTATTTAGGGCACATAAAACATTAAAATAAGGCAGTAGTTTAAAAGATAAACAATTCGAATCAAAATAATCAGTAATTTAAGACTAAAACTATAAACACGTGCTACATTTTTGAGATTAACCGAAAATTTGTATCTCACTAAATCTTTATTAAATACACTAAATCAAAAACTTTTCTTAAAAATAGAATTAATTCTCATTTGCAACAAAAATATTTTTTTCGAACGCAAACACAAAAGATTTAGCCTTAACCTTAAAATAATAATAATAACAACTCCCATACAATCTCTTTAGAATTATAAATGAATTCTTAAACTGGAACAAAACACAATAACAACACCATTGTTCTTCTCATTTCAGCAAGGAACTTTCAGAATGGTAAATAATTATTTGTTTTCTGGGAAAGAGAAATAAAAATGGTGAAAGCTCACAATCACTATCGAACTTAAAACCTTTCCTGAAAAATGTTAGCAAAAATGCAGAAGAGGAGTTATTTTTCAACGATTTTTTTTTCTTTTTCTTCTTCGGAACGTGATTACGCAGCAATTTTATTATCCACTCCTGCAACACAATTATTTTCACTTTTGCTCTTTGTTTTGTTTTTCATTTTGGATACAGAGGATTACATTAAAGTAGAAAGAATAAGCGGGTATAATCTTATTTCCGGAAAAGGACGATCATAAAAAGTTTGAAATGAATTATACTTTTTGAAAAACTGATTATAAATGACAAAAATCTTCAGCATCATTACAACAAAAGATATGTCTTCACTTAAAGAAGTTAGAAGAAGAAGCTTACTCGATTATTTATTTGTTTGTTTTTCCTTTTTAACTGAGAAATATGTTTTTATAGTTTCGTTTTTAATTTATAGTTTGTTAGTTTTTTTAAAGTTTCCGAGAATACCCCATACTGGATGGGAAAAAAAAGTTTCTTAATACTAAATTCATTTTAACTCAGAGACATAGATATATCGAGACGGTTTTTGAGAGATGATTTTTCAAAACAAACACTTCATTAATTCGTTTTTCTTTGCTGTTTCCATTTTTCTTATTAAATTACATATTTCTTATAGATATTTTCAATTTTAAAAACTAAAGCAAAAGATAGTTGTAAGTTCTTAAAATATTCGCATTTTTATTAGTTGTTAATACATTGTTTTTTCTATCAATTTTTACAGTTATATATAATATATGAATTCTGACATACCGTTATTTTTAGAGTAATAATTACCTTAAAATCACTAAATCACTCGAATTAAGAAAAAATTTCTGTAAAAAATTACGGTAAAAATGGAATTTATGGTAAAATGGATTGTACGGATTATGCACCCAAAGTGCCGGTACTTCATACCGTAATTTGATCCGTAATTTTTTTTAGTGCAGTGTCATCTGCTAGAACCAGGTTTTGTTTTTAATGATCACACTTTTTTCCCCATAACAACCTACGTTTTTCAAAAATTTATTTGACAATAAGACACCGCAGAAAATGACAGAAACAATGCATTTTCGTAATTAATTATTTATATTATCATTTTTTTTAAATATTATTCCTGAAATAATTAATGATCTTTAAAAAGATGTTACACATTGTTTGCAACATTAATCAGTTTTATACAATATAAAAGCAAATCTTAACTTTCTCTGTTTTCTTTCATTTCATCGAATATGCTCGTTAAATAACTTTGATTTAATCCATTATTTTTAACAATCCAATACACAACATCAAATTAAATTTCAATTTAGAAAACAATTCATTAAATGAATGTTTGTAATGAAAATGTCATAATTAAGTGTTATCGAGCATTTCCCAAAATATGTGATATTAGATTCGATACCACCAGCCCATTACAGAAATCTACACATTAAGTAACCATTACTATGAAATGAGTGACCATGCTATTAATTAATATTACCGACCCCGTTAAGGTCACGAGTACCAACAATTTATCGAAAGCCTATCAACGACAGTTGAAATCCAACAGAGATTTGTGGTCAGTTACAATACATTAATTGATGTTCTCTTTGCTCTGGGCGAATACCATTATAGCTAACACATGTTCTGAATGGGATCATATTGTATCAGTAGAAACGTAATAATGCTTGCTTGGACTATTTATGGAACTATTTATTTAATTTATATCATTTCTAATTCAACTACAATGTAGCTATCTAGCATGAATATACTAACAAAGAGAAATTATCCTAACACAAAAACCATTTTACCACCAAAAATATTTTTGAAAGATATTTTCAATTGTAGTTATCTCAAATTGACAGCCACGGATTTGAATTAGAACTATCTTTATTAACCCATTGGCGGTTTAGCAGCGAAGTAAAATTGGGAGAATGTTTCACCCCAATACACAATTTCCCTATTTAATAATATAGAAATACTGGTTTGTTTTGAGGAGAAGATTGCAGGTTAAAATACGACTTTTTGCTCGGAGAACCGTCAGAGGGTTGAAAAATTAAAACAACAATAAACGAATTAATGAAACCAAAAGAACAACTGATTTCCTAAGAACAAAAATTTTAACATTTTAGAGCTGGGTAAGACGAAGAGATTTTCGAGAACAGAACTACAATGTGTCAGAACTACAATGTGTCAGAACTACAATGTGTCAGAACTACAATGTGTTAGAACTACAAAGTGTCAGAACAACATAGTGATAGAACTACATTGTGTCATAACTACATAGTGTCATAACTACATTGTGTCATAACTACATAGTGTCAGAGCTAAAATGAGCCAACTGACACATTTCAAATTTGAATGTAACGTGGGCACTGAAACTTATAAAGGAAGTGGATATAGAAATCGGAAAATGAAATGAAAACACCACGCTATGAGTTCATTTACAATGGAACCTTAAAACACAAATTATCGTGTTATCCCAGTTCGTAGTTATTGCAGTCTACAACAAGAGGGCAACGTTTTCGTAGATAACGCTTAAATGTTGGTCAATATGGTAAGGTTTTGTCCGACCAGTTCCTCTCATCGAAAAAGACTGGTAACATCAGGGGTCTGTCCAGACATTTTGTAAAAGCTCCGGTTTTGTAAAATTGTGAAAAATTACTCGTAATTTGTGAATATAAAATGAACGTTCAGTCATGTTCTTTCAACCAGGGACCGGCTTTTGTGAATTTGAGCAAATAGGGTCCTGTTATTGCAAAAAACTTTTTCAAGGAGTTTCTAAATTGTAAAGACGTACAAAATTATGCTCAACGCTATAAAATTGTAATTAAAAAAATTAAATTTTAAAAAATAAATAGCAATTACAGCTACTTAATTAGCGATGCAACATACAAATATTTGGTATTTAGCCTATACTGCTGAAAACAGAATATTCATTTCGGACGAATAAAGGAAGAAGCATCTGCGGAAGACAACATTTAGTTCGTTTAGATCTGTCTTTCTTCCCCCCCCCCTCATCCTGGGAAGGGTTTAGTCGATTAACAAAACAATAATGAAGATAAACAAATTTGTGGAGGGTCCGATTAAAAGATAATATATTTTGTGAAGGGTCCGTTTTTAAGTTAAAATATTTTGTGAAGGGTCCGTTTTTATGAAAAGATATTTTGTGAAGGGTCCGTTAACGGACCCAAATTTCTTCTAAACAGACCCCTGTATACGGAATTATATCTTTGCTTTATATTGTTTGTTATTCTAAATATAACTTAGTAGGTAAAAAAAAATTTTTTTTAATTCAATTGTACATTCAATATAATGATACGAGGCCACTAAAGCCACTTTTTCTTAATACGTGCGCGCAGATTGCAACCATGAAACAAAGTCGGTGGGTTTTAAATTTCAAAAAAATTGAATTACACAACCAATTTTACACAAAATCTTCAAAAGAAAGAGTTTACTCAAGTCATTCAATTCGGAAGTTCCTATGTCTTCTGATTGAAGCTCAAAATTAAAACGATTAGAGAGTGCACATTAACGCTGACGCTTTACTTATAAGAAAATATAGGCTTATCATTATTAAAATGGTGTAATAAAAATGTTTGTTTAAAGTATTTACATTGTTTAAAGTATTAAATGGAGAGAGAGAGAGACTTACAGTATCTTATAATAAACACTTTCTTACTTTTTTTAGTGATTACGCAGGGGCCCCAGCGAGACCAGTGAGAAACTTGACAGTCACGCTTACAGGGCACTTTGCATCTTTGTATTGTAGCTGGCATGGCTTCTTTACAATAGGAATCATCAGCAGGTGACATATCTGTAAAAAAACAAAATCTATAGAAAAAATTAAATTAGAAGAAAAAGAAATAAAAAAAGAAATCATTAAAAATGAATTTTTCCTTAATATTGAGTAATTTTTAGAGTAAAAAAAAAAAATTCTACCTACTCAGGGTCTGTCCAGACATTTTGTGAAAGGTCCATTTTTGTAAAATTGTGAAAAAATTACTCGTCATTTGTGAATATAAGATAAACGTTAAGTCACATTCTTTCAACCAGGGTCCGCTTTTGTGAATTTGTGCAAATAGGGTCCGTTATTGCAAAAAAAAAAAAAAAAAAAAACTTTTTCAAGGAGTTTTTAAATTTTAAAGACATACACGATTATGCTCAACACTGTAAAATTATAATAAAAAAATTAAATTTTAAAAAATAAACAGCAATTGCAGCTACTAAATTAGCGATGCAACGTACAAATATTTAGTATTCAGCCTATACTGCTGAACGCAGAATATTAATTTCGGACGAATAAAGGAAGAATCGTCTGCCGAAGACAAAACTTAATTCGTTTACATCCATCTTTCTTGTTTTCTGCCCTGGGAAGGGTTTATTCGA